TTTTTTTTAGATTACAGATTTAAAGTCATTTAGTTAAATAAGTATTAAGAAATGCTTTATTACACATGACGTTCTCCAAAAATTAAGGTTGATATACAAAATTTAAAGTATAGCATAATGAATTCCAGATAGATGAAAGTATTAGAAGAAAAAAAGACATTGAATATTTATGTAATAGAGTGGAGAAGGCCTTTCTAAGTAGTAAAAGCATAACTTATTGTGTGAATTATTGATAGATGAAACTACTTAAATGCAAGTTTTTGTATTACTAAAATATCAAAATAAAATAGACAGAAAACTGAGAAAAGTATTTGCATATTATAAAACAGAGGCTTATTATCTTAAATATACAATGAGTTGGTTAAAAACCAATAGAGAAAGAACAATTAACAAAACAAGATAACAAAAAAGTAAAAAATTAAAATGAGAAATCTTTTTGCTTATAAAATTGCCAAAATAATTAGAAAAAGCCAATAGGCAAAGGAAATAAATTCTCATACATTACCAATGATATTAAAATAATGTTCTGAAATGCAATTTGTCAATATCTATCACAAGCCTTGAAAATTTTACTTATAGAAATTTAGCCTGGCATGCGTGTGTGTGTGTGTGTGTGTGTATGTGTATAGCAACATGTATACTCACATCAAAATTGTTTAAAAATAGGAAAAATTATAAAAACACTATATTCTAAGAGGAGATTAGTGAAATACACTATGGTATCTGCACAAAGTAGAACATTACATTGTAAAAACACATTAGGGAATGTAAAAATATATTAATGGTATAGTATTCATGGTGTAAAGTAAAAAAACTGACTGAAAAATAGTATACACTAAATAATGCAATTTTCAAAATACAGACAAAGGTATCACACTATTAAGATTATGCTAAAATATTAAGAGTGGTTTTATTGATTCATTATACTCTCTAGATTTCTATACTGGGAATGTGTTAATTTCAGAGTTAAAAAAGAATCAATCAAGTTTATTTTAAAATTGTAACTTAGACAGTGGCTATAAATTGACCAGAGTTTATTACAAACGGGGAGCTCTAGGGAGCTGTTAAACTGCAGAATGTCTAACATCTCCCAGCATTGATGATTAATGAGAAATAAGCAAACATTAAGTATATAAGAGATCATCAGTATTAAAGCAGAATACAGGGTGTAGCTGGCTTTTCTAGTCTTCACAGTTCTCTGACTTGGGGACAAAAAAAGAGTCTCAATGCACTTGACAGGACTTTGTAATAAAGCTCTTGACAGAACTTGATCTCTTCAGCTTTATTTTCCTAACTATCACTGTCATCATTGCCTGCTTTTTCTCTGAAGCTTCTCTTTTAATCTCACTCACAAATTCTGAGAACCAGGAAACAGCTGAGATTCCAAGAATGAGCTTTAGATTCAGGGAGACTGGACTTCAAGTCCCAATTCTATTCCTTGTCAGCCCTGTGACTTTTAGTTACTTTGTTAGAATCTCAAGTTGCTTATCTTTAAAATGGAAGAGTAGGACCTGTCTCACATAGACGTTCGTAAAGCATTGGACAAAACACCTGGCATTTGGCAAGCATTAAAAATATAGTTGCCACCAGTATCCTTAAAGTTTTGGGTAAATCAAGAAAATATCCCTTAACATTAT